GGACCTAAATGTTCTGAATTACGTTAACACATTAATTCTTTTGAACTAAATACGCACGTGAATATAGGGATTGTTGCCATTACTTTGTGTAGCTACATTTCATTACATTTTCACATTCTCTAAAAAGGCAATGGATTCCCAAGTAACCATTGAGTGTATTCTTTTTTGTACTAATATATCAAGCTTGGTTATAACTTCAGTAACCCAAGCATAGGCTTATTTCAGTTCCATTTTCTACCTGGCCCCTTGCTGGAGAATGATGGTGCACAGATGACCCAAAATAAAGGGAGAAGTCCTTACTGCCCACTGACAGTGGTAACACACTTTGCACTGCAACAGCTACAGCCTCTTGTCTCAATTAAGAAAATTTCTTAGGAGTCTTTTGTGGTCAATGGGTATATGCTCCGTATGTACCAGTAAGAGAACAGGAAATTCCACATTCAAAGTTAATAATGTTAAAAACAGTACGTAGAACAAATTAAGCAAGGCAGTTATACAGGGGTCCCTGAGAGGAAGATGGCCTTCAAATATTGAGAAGTGTAGAATCAAAGAATAAATCAAATTGGAAAGGACCTTGGGAGGTCATCTGATCTGTCTTCCTGCTTAAAGAAGGATCTATGTGCCATTTACGAGAAGGCTTGGATTGGGTAGTCAATAACAACAGCAAACTTTCTGCAATATTATTTTCTTGGATAGATGGGATCAATACAGAATCCTGGGGATGAGCAGCCATACAGTAGGTCTGTAAGGAACTCGGAGCCAAGGAAGAGCATTATGGATGACATTCAGTCTCCTAGGTAGGGCTTGAATTGGCTCCACTGACAAAGGATGATGTCCATGTTCTTGGCCTGTGTTTATTACTATTTTGACACCTATGTGGTTTTCCATATGAGAAACCACCCATTCTTTCTCTCATTAGTCATTTTTGGGTGTTTGGCTACAAATGTTGTCTTTTGTCTCTTTATTATACGCTCAGGCATTCTACCTTCCTTCCAATTCAGAATAAAGTTGCTGTCTTGCAACTATTATGATTGTTCCTGACAATTGATTCAACAGACAAAAGCATTAACAAATAATACTGCAATAAATACGACTAGGTGCACATTACATATCCAGACAAAGAAAATAATGTGAGGTGATACAATGACAGTGAATTTCAAATATGCCAGGTTATTTGAACTAATTAATATCATCACACAAAACATGGACATAAAGGTTTGACATCAGCCTTTACGTAATGCTTTTTGTGGAGCTAGAGAATGTGCAGAGTCCAGACATGGTATTCTGTCCTGCCTGCAGAAGATGGCCAAAGACTTTGTGATTGTATTCACTTGGCACTTTACCTACTGTGCAAACACACACATTTAATAAAGGCTGCAATTCTTATTCTTCACTACGGGAGAGTATTTTTAGGTATTCTGTTCAAGCAGTTCCTCTATTCTGTCCTGCACACTGCTGAGTGACCTGCACTAAACTGAAATACAAGTTGAGTCATAATTATGAGGGAAAAGGACCATGTATTTTATTATGCTTCCTCTGTTGTGACTAAGGACTAGACAACAAAGACCAGAACCATATCAGATAGCCCATGTATCACCAGCAGGTTCCCAGCTAGTAACAAGTTGTAAGTGCAGTATATAAGCTTTGGAGTAAACGTGCCAAGATTCTTTAAGAAATCCAAATATTGTTCTTTGCAGGGTTGAACATAACACCAGAAAAAGAAAGAATTTTTTATGTTATCCAGCACAGAAAACCGGAACTGAAAATTAGTATTATAAACTCTGCGTAAGTTAGTAAAAGGTTTTACTTGTTAGTAAAAGGTCCAGTATGAATTTAGGATGAGAATTTATATGCCTTTCCACCTTCCCCAGTCACATAGGGGATTATCTGTTCTGCAGGCAATCCCCTGTTCTAGAAGCAATGCAAAGGAAACAGAACTGAACTTTAAAACCAGCTCTGACAAAACGCTTTAACCTCCTTTTATTTTCTTCAGCTTTATTTCACTTTTCTCCCAGCACTGCCATCATTCAACAAATCATAAAATATAAAGGAAAAGGAAGACTCTTCCATTTCCAGCTTTCATGTTGAGTCAAGCCTTATCAGCATGAGATAAGATTTATCGTCTTGATCCACTGGAGGAAAAAACAAACCAAAAACAAAAAAACAACCCAAGAAAGAAAAGTAATTGCTTATTTTGTAACAATGGATCTTACCTAAAATTCCCAAGTAACCATTGAGTGTATTCTTTTTTGTACTAATATATCAAGCTTGGTTATAACTTCAGTAACCCAAGCATAGGCTTATTTCAGTTCCATTTTCTACCTGGCCCCTTGCTGGAGAATGATGGTGCACAGATGACCCCCTAGTAAAGGGAGAAGTCCCTACTGCCCACTGACAGTGGTAACACACTTTGCACTGCTACAGCTACAGCCTCTTGTCTCAATTAAGAAAATCTCTTAGGAGTCTTTTGTGGTCGATGGGTATATGCTCCGTATGTACCAGTAAGAGAACAGGAAATTCCACATTCAAAGTTAATAATGTTAAAAACAGTACGTAGAACAAATAAGCAAGGCAGTTATACAGGGAGGAAGATGGCCTTCAAATATTGAGAAGTGTAGAATCAAAGAATAAATCAAATTGGAAAGGACCTTGGGAGGTCATCTGATCTGTCTTCCTGCTTAAAGAAGGATCTATGTGCCATTTACGAGAAGGCTTGGATTGGGTAGTCAATAACAACAGCAAACTTTCTGCAATATTATTTTCTTGGATAGATGGGATCAATACAGAATCCTGGGGATGAGCAGCCATACAGTAGGTCTGTAAGGAACTCGGAGCCAAGGAAGAGCATTATGGATGACATTCAGTCTCCTAGGTAGGGCTTGAATTGGCTCCACTGACAAAGGATGATGTCCATGTTCTTGGCCTGTGTTTATTACTATTTTGACACCTATGTGGTTTTCCATATGAGAAACCACCCATTCTTTCTCTCATTAGTCATTTTTGGGTGTTTGGCTACAAATGTTGTCTTTTGTCTCTTTATTATACGCTCAGGCATTCTACCTTCCTTCCAATTCAGAATAAAGTTGCTGTCTTGCAACTATTATGATTGTTCCTGACAATTGATTCAACAGACAAAAGCATTAACAAATAATACTGCAATAAATACGACTAGGTGCACATTACATATCCAGACAAAGAAAATAATGTGAGGTGATACAATGACAGTGAATTTCAAATATGCCAGGTTATTTGAACTAATTAATATCATCACAGCAAAGAAAATAAATGGTTACATACAATGTGAAGTGACAAAATGACAGTGAATTTCAAATATGTCAGGTTATTTGAACTAATTAATATCATCACACAAAACATGGAAATAAAGATTTGACATCAGACTTTATGTAATGCTTTTTGTGGAGCTAGAGAATGTGCAGAGTCCAGACATGGTATTCTGTCCTGCCTGCAGAAGATGGCCAAAGACTTTGTGATTGTATTCACTTGGCACTTTACCTACTGTGCAAACACACACATTTAATAAAGGCTGCAATTCTTATTCTTCACTACGGGAGAGTATTTTTAGGTATTCTGTTCAAGCAGTTCCTCTATTCTGTCCTGCACACTGCTGAGTGACCTGCACTAAACTGAAATACAAGTTGAGTCATAATTATGAGGGAAAAGGACCATGTATTTTATTATGCTTCCTCTGTTGTGACTAAGGACTAGACAACAAAGACCAGAACCATATCAGATAGCCCATGTATCACCAGCAGGTTCCCAGCTAGTAACAAGTTGTAAGTGCAGTATATAAGCTTTGGAGTAAACGTGCCAAGATTCTTTAAGAAATCCAAATATTGTTCTTTGCAGGGTTGAACATAACACCAGAAAAAGAAAGAATTTTTTATGTTATCCAGCACAGAAAACCGGAACTGAAAATTAGTATTATAAACTCTGCGTAAGTTAGTAAAAGGTTTTACTTGTTAGTAAAAGGTCCAGTATGAATTTAGGATGAGAATTTATATGCCTTTCCACCTTCCCCAGTCACATAGGGGATTATCTGTTCTGCAGGCAATCCCCTGTTCTAGAAGCAATGCAAAGGAAACAGAACTGAACTTTAAAACCAGCTCTGACAAAACGCTTTAACCTCCTTTTATTTTCTTCAGCTTTATTTCACTTTTCTCCCAGCACTGCCATCATTCAACAAATCATAAAATATAAAGGAAAAGGAAGACTCTTCCATTTCCAGCTTTCATGTTGAGTCAAGCCTTATCAGCATGAGATAAGATTTATCGTCTTGATCCACTGGAGGAAAAAACAAACCAAAAACAAAAAAACAACCCAAGAAAGAAAAGTAATTGCTTATTTTGTAACAATGGATCTTACCTAAAATTCTCGCACCTGCTTTGCACAGTCTGTGCCCCACAGTGTAGTACAGTCAGATGAGAAAAAGCTTAATCCAGGTGCATGATTTGCAGCCACATCTCTGGGTTGTAACTTTTATCTTTATATGATTGGTAATTAAAGAAGACTACCGTGTCATCTTGTATTGGGTTACAAAATTATTATGAATACATTAACTATGACGTATGAAGGGCTTAAGTGTGCTTGGAATTTCCGATATGACAAATGGGATGGAATAGCTTCACATGACAAATATCAGATATTCATCAAAGCAAGCAGTCAGTAAAATTGTGCAACTATGTGGGTGCAGGAAAAGCGATGATTCATTTACAGATGTGCTGATGATAATTTTTTCACTATCACATATAACCTGGGGCACATCAGGAACCAGACAAGTATCTAAACAACCACCGTTATTTTCAGTTGGACAAACTGTTGCAAAAAATTTGACATAAACTGTCTTCAGCTCCTCTTTGAAACAATTTTGGCTAGATGTAAGAAACAAAACCCATAGAAATATCCTTTTGGGATTAATTCTCTAAAAATAACAACTGAAAAACCTACTGACTTAACTCTAAAATACGCCATTTCCCTTCCAGGTGTGATTTTTGCTGCTAGTAGACTTATCTGCAAGAGGTTGGTATCATTTATCTTTCTAAAAGCTTCCAAAAACTTATTTTAATTCCTAGAGGACTTAACTCTAAAATCCCCCATTTCCCTTCCAGGTGTGATTTTTGCTGCTATTCGACTTTTCTGCACGAGGTTGGTATCATTTATCTTTCTAAAAGCTTCCAAAAACTTATTTTAATTCCTAGAGGCTCTGCCTAGAGGTGGAAATGGCAATCTGTTCCAGAAACAAGTCAACGTTGCAGCACCATTTAGAAGGAAGAATATGAGAGAGGGCAGGTGCCATATTTCAGCCTGTTAATATGCACATTACAGCGTAACCTAATGTAAAATGGGAAAAAAGTGCTTCCACTTGGAGGGAATCCTAGTGAAAATCTTCAAAATATTGCAAAGAATAATTCAAGTTCTCAGGAAGCAAGTAACTTCTTGACTGAGAACATCACTAGTTTTTTATTTTCTTGTATCTAAAACTCATGGGTGATATTTTGAAAGGTTTGACTGAACTGGGTCACTCAGCCTTGGTTATGGTTTGGCATTTCCTTCTGTGCAGGGCGATCCATAGGGAATGCCGTTCATACCAACACTGGAATACAGCAGGATGACTCAGTCCTAATCAGCGTTCTTTTTTCTTATTAAGAAACAAGTATTTGGCTTCCCCAACTGCTAAAGTGATAGCTCACGTTGTAACTCTCAGAGCGTTGGTCACCCTGACTCACATTCTAAGAGAAGGAAAGTGACCTGTAACCTGTGATCTGCAGATTATTAATTGCTATCTAGACAAGCAGCTACTGAAAACAGAACACCTGTATTTTGCTAAATAAATTTAGCCCCTTGCTTAGCTAGACCATAGCACAGGCTCTGAAGATGAGCCATGTCTCTAATTTCCAATCCAAAACTTCGCTGAATTTATTAATCAAGTCAATGGGGAAAAACAGGTAAAAATCTTAAGTAAACATGGAGGTGTTTTCTTCTTTCACTAATACGTAAATCACAACAGAAAGGTAGCCAGTGTACAGGCAAAGTGTGTGATCATTGTTACACTTACAGCACAAATGGGCTTAATGACAAAGTTAAACAAATCTCAATTAAAGACACAATGACTCTAGACAGACAAAACCCATCACTCTCCCAGCTTCCCACTAACTAGGTCTCCAAGCATGGAAAAGTTGCCAGCTATGGGGAACACTTTAGAAAGTTAATGACAGAAAAATGGGATTCACTGGAGACTGTAATCTTAACTCCAGTAAGCATTGCCAGAGGCCCGACATGAAGAAACAAGTACTATTTCAAGCAGACTGCAAAGCCAAGGGAAAGATTAACATCTGCCAGAATCAGCTACAGATGAGATTCTTATTGATCCTTGAACGTTACAAGAATTTAAAAGGGCTAAAAGGAAACTTAAAGAAAACAATCACGTGTCTGTGGATTTGGTTTGTAAATTTAAATACCTTTCCCTACATTTCACTATATATTTTCCAATAGCTGTGTATGATGTAGCTCAGCGTTACAAGGCAGAAGAGGTATTTCTTCCAACTTATTCACTTTATTGTCAAGCTTAGTCTTGTATGAAAAGTGGAGACAGGGAGCAGTTCTGTTGCTGTAACTAGCATTGCTGTTACTCGCCTCCGAGCCATTGATTTTCATGTTTAGGCTGTGTTGCTGTGGATTTTGCTTCTCCCTTATCCGTGTCTATCCCTATTAACAAGATTAAGACAGTGCTCGCATTCTTCTAATTAAAACGCCGTAATTCTGGGAAGAGATTCCAAGTCTTCTTTTAGCAGGGTAATCGCTGTATCTGTGAGTTCAAGTCGCTATATTTTAACATCAAAGTTTGTGCAAAAAGAGCCCTCTTCCAGGCAGGCCACAGCTCTTTGTCCGCCCTGGTTTGAATTACACGCTGGGTTGGGTAGTAGCGGTATCAATAGCATTTCCATACCACAGCTCGCTGCAGCGCTGCCTCACGCTGAGGAGTTTACAGGGTTTGGAGTTGTCACCCCTCTCGGAGGCTAAGCAACCAAAGGCTCTTCCCATCTTGTCATGCTAGGAACATCCGTGCTTTTCTCTGCAACATTTTTCCCTTACCGAACGGGAAGACCCCACCTCGAAGGCTGTGTCCAGTTTTGGGCCCCCCACCACAAGAAAGACATTGAGGTGCTGGAGCGGGTCCAGAGAAGGGTAACGAAGCTGGTGAGGGGGCTGGAAAACAAATTGTATGAGGAGCGGCTGAGGGAGTTGGGACTGTTTAGTGTGAGGAAGAGGAGGCTGAGGGGAGACCTCATCACTCTACAACTACTTGAAAGGACACTGTAGAGAGGTTGGTGCTGGGCTCTTCTCACAGGTACTAGACGATTCTATGATTCTATGAACAAAGCTTGTGAGGGGTCTGGAGAGTAAGTCTTATGAGGAGAGGCTGAGGGAGCTGGGGTTGTTCAGTCTGGGGAAGAGGAGGCTGAGGGGAAACCTTCTCGCACTCTACAACTCCCTGGAAGGAGGGTGTAGAGAGGCCGGGGTCGGTCTCTTCTCCCAAGTTACACATGATAGGACAAGGGGTAATGGGTTCAAGTTGCGCCAGGGTAGGTTTAGACTGGACATTAGGAAGGAATTCTTCACAAAGAGAGTGGTCGGGCATTGGAACAGGCTGTCCAGGGAGGTGGTTGAGTCACCATCCCTGGCTGTGTTTAAGAACCGTTTAGATGTGGTGTTGGGGGATATGGTGTAGGGGAGAACTTTAGAGTAGGGTGGATGGCTGGACTCGATGATCCCGAGGGTCTCTTCCAGCCTAGATAATTCTAGATAATTCTGTGAACTTCAAGCCGTATTGCACTGACCAGCTGTAGCCTTCAAATACTATTTAAAAGTTATTATTTCTGTAGCTTCTCATTCCTACAGCAAGTTACCATTCCACAACCCTCAGAAGTACCTCCTCCCACTCTGACTCGTTCCCCCATACACAGCAAGTTACCATTCCACAAGTTACCATTCCACAACCTCCTCCCACTCTGACTCGTTCCCCCATATCTTCTGTGAGGTATGTGATACAGTTTTGTTTAATCAGCTCCTGCAAGATGGTTTTGATGGATGTAGGGTGAGAAAACTTGTTACAGCAGTTTGGTCATTCCCAGTTCCAAGGGTTCACACATTCAATCTACTGATTGGCCTCACTATGGAAATGGCAAAAAGATTCATACCTAATATAAGAAAAATAGTACATTGGTAAACACAGTAACAGATATCTTCTGTGAGGTATGTGATACAGTTTTGTTTAATCAGCTCCTGCAAGATGGTTTTGATGGATGTAGGGTGAGAAAACTTGTTACAGCAGTTTAGTAATTCCCAGTTCCAAGAGTTCCCACATTCAATCTACTGATTGGCCTCACTATGGAAATGGCAAAAAGATTCATACCTAATAGAAGAGAAGACAGCAAGGAAAATAGTACATTGGTAAACACAGTAACAGAAAACTTCCCATCCTGGCCTGCTTTTATTAGAACTCCCACATTTCAAACTCTAGATACCAGGGAAGTCAGTGAACCCCACAGAAAGCTGAAATGTAAACAGTTTAGCAGTTAACAGTTAAACAGTTAAAGTTAACAGATGTTAACAGTGAAAGTAAAAGTTAACAGTTTAAGATGTCAAACCACATCAGCAATTAGCATCGCTTTGCAATTTAGGCATTTAAATTTATTCAAACTCAGAATCAGGCCAAAGAGAGTTCTAGAAAAAGAGCAGAAACATGCAAGTGCACAATTAAAAGGCAAGAGATGCATCTTACTCATTATTCTTTTTGACTGTAGCAGAAAATGCATTCAGCAACCAGATGATGCCAGAAAACAGAAAAGGAACATGTAGAAACCCCACAAATATTCCTAACGTAAGTGTGTTGCCAAATGCAGATTTATAAGAATGTTGAAGCTGACAGGTTAGTCCAACTCACTGTTTCCCGTTCTTAAGCAGAGGTTGCTGAAGCCTGAACTTCATTTAAACTTCTTTGCACTTTGTTCTTTGCTTAAAGGATTCCCATGTGTGAGAGAAGCACAAGAAAGGATCAGGTCTTTTCTTTACAAACATTTTTTCTGTTTAACTGTCCTTTTGCATAGAATATCTGTACGACCAGGAGAACTGTTCAAAGACAGAGGCATTTATTTCAGAGACAGCTGTGGACTCCCAGCAAGGGAGAACATGTTGCACTCTGTGTCATCATTTACTTCTCTGCCTGTTATGCTGGTCCTCACTCCAGCTCCGTGTGAGGTGAGGATGTTGCAGAGTGGTCAGGCTGGTTCGAGATGCAGACAAAACCCCTTCCCACATTTAAATTTCACCTTCAGTTTCATTTCACCTTCAAATGTCTGGGTGGGGAAGAAAAACCTCCTCTCTTAAAACATTCCCAGCAGCTGCCTCCCCTCAAACTCTGACAGAATAGAAGGACAGAAAACTCCTACTCACCCACTGGGTCTGCGCCCAGAAACCCACAGCACACAGCTCAAGTGTGGACCCAGTTCAAACTGTCTTTGCTTTCTGGGATTAGTGGGATCTTTCGAGCAGCAGCTGCCTGGCACACTCAGGTCACTCGCACTAGAATACACGTACAGTCGCTGAAAATCTCATTTGTTTCAAATTTCTTTGTACGGTGGTACAAAAGAGAAAAAGGGTACCAAAAATGAAAATGATGAGCTTTAATAATAATCAAATGCTAGCATTGCTGTTAGAATTCAGCTGCTTCTTATTAATCAGGGCAGTTAGTTAATTAATTTGGACGAGAATCAGGGTTTATATTCCTTTCAGAATAGCTGGAATAAGATCACTAGTTGGAAAAGTTTACTGGCCCTTAAAGATACTGTAATTTTCTGCCTTAACTACTTTTGGCTGTAAGACAGGCTAGTAACATTGTAATCTGATTGCCCTCATACTTTCTTTTCCCAGATGAATTCCAGTTTGATTTCGGTAGTTTCATAAAGTCTGAAATTCCAGTTCTTTCTTCTCTTTTCTTCTGAAATTCTCTTCTTTCTTCT